TAATTTCTGGTGTCGCACTGGGGTAACATATCTCAATGCTTTATTTTGGAGTACTAGTACTTGTGGAATATAATAAGATCAATAAACAATAGTGTATCAAAGTAAAGTAATTTTACTGATTATTTTAACTGTGCATCAAAATGAACACACCTTAAAATAATTATTCTAAACTATTTGCTAATAATTATTCTAAACTATTGTGCTAATAATTATTCTAAACTATTGTAAACACTGGACTGGACTTTGGACTGGACTTTGGACTTTGGACTTTCGATTTTGAATTTATATTTTTTAGATTTTCGTTTAATTATATTTTAAAAAATCTAAACAGAGAACGAAAATTTGCTGCTGAAAAGCGTGCTACTGGCTACACTGCATGCACATGCATGATATAATATATACAAGGTAAAAAATACTCAGTATCAGTTATATAGGTATACCAGCAATACAATTTCATACGGATATAGCCTGTAGGATAGCAGGATTATCCAATATTTTGGGATTTAATATTTAAATTTTATATAATAGTTGTATTTATAGTATGCATAGTACAGTTTATACTGCAGAACTTCTTTATCATATAGATAATAGATTAATTGTCAGAAACAATTGTGACAAAAGTGTCTCGGCAAATACAAAATATTAACTATACAAGTGATTATTATTGTGCCTATTGAGTATTGTATTATGTATCTGTTGACTGTTCATGTATTGTGTAATTGTTTACTCCGTTACACAGTAACGTTACGTTTTGTTAATGTTACTTATTTTTTAAAGACATTCTAGTTAGCTACCCTTGTTAATGTTACTTATTTTTTAAAGACATTCTAGTTAGCTACCCTTATCACTAAGACTAAGTGCTTCAGTTATTATTAATAAGTGTTAGTAGATGGACAGGAATATTCGAACGGAAATTTACACACTTTTTAAGACCTACTCAGTTGTGTGTGAGAAGGCAAAAATCTATGTCTATGTACTTCAGGTAGCAACTATTTGCCACGTTTACCGGGGCTGTAATACTACCACTTGCATGTGATGAACCAGGTGGGAATCGTAATCGTAGTATAGAGATTAATGCCCAGCATAACGTACGCAAAAGAGTCATATATAGACAATAATATAGACATAAATATATACCAGGGGCGGCGGAACCGGGGGCCTAGGGGGGCTAAAGCCCCCCAGAAGTAAAAGTGGGGGGCTTAGCCCCCCCAGAAAATTTAGTTTTTTCAGAAGTAAAAGTGGGGGGCTTAGCCCCCCCAGAAAATTTAGTTTTTTCTGGAAAAATTTTGATAATTAAGGAAAAATTTTGATAATTAAGGAAAAATTTAGGTTATTTTTTTTGAAAATTTAGGTATAAGGGGAAAAATTTCCAATATTTATTTTTTTTGAAAATTTAGGTATAAGGGGAAAAATTTCCAATATTTTCTTTAAAAAATTTGTATTTCCGGAAAAAAATTTTGTTATATGTCCGGAAAAATTTTTTTCATCCCTTTTCTCGTATATGTCCGGAAACATTTTTGTTGCCCTAAAATGGTACACTGACCAAATTTTTTTTTTGGGGGGGGAGGTCACAGAAAAAAATTTAGCCCCCCCAGAATGAAATCTGTTCCTCCACCGCTGATATATACATAAAGTAATACTATAGATTATCATAAAGTAATCAGTACTACCAATCAGTGGCGTGCTGGCAGGGGGGATCAGTGGCGTGCTGGCCGGGGGGGGGCCACGGCCCCCCACCAGCTGGCAATTCTTGCAGGGCGCAGAAATGAAAAGGGGGTGCCAATCCCGCGCGAGTTTTGAAAGTGGGTGGGAAAAAAACGCATTCGAAAAAATATAAGTTACTTCCGCCGAGAAAAGATGTATTTATAGGCTTATAAACAGACTAAGCGCATAGGCGACAAGGTGATATATTAAATTATACAGACTATTTTGTCTAACCGTATTTGCTAATTTGCTACCTCACGGCTCACACGAAATCGTTCATATAGAAACATGAACTGTGATCACACGCAATGTCTCGTCACCGTAATATTGGTCAGGTTTCGAAGCGATCATGGGAATCATGCCTTTTTTCGCTGGTATTATGCCCTTTATTATGCTTCACGAATCTCGAGAGCGGCCGGGCGCAAATGAGATAGTTTAAGTTATGATAATGTAAAGTTGTGTACGCAATTTAGTTGTTTGCGCTAGAAACATCATGAGTAATGTGAGTAATGAAATAATGCTGAAACGCGCCCTTTTGGCAGCCAGGCAGGGAAACCTTAAAATGGCTATGCGTGGGGTCCGTGTGTTATTGTATAAAAGAACTGTATGTTGTAAATGTATTCAGATCACTAGATCAGTAGAGAATAGAATTGGGATTAGATTAATCGCTGGAAGTTGTTAGCATTGCATAATATATATATAAGTACTACTACTACTAAATCCAAACCAAATTGCAAATTTCGACACGTTATAATGCCGTTTCCTGACCATCAGATTTCTGTCAAATCTTCCCTCAAAGTCCAGGAATTGGCATTTCAGAGACTCTAAATTAAAAATTTTTGCTGGGGGACATGCCCCTGGACCCCCCTAGACAAACCTCGCACCTGCGGCGCTCGGCTCGTGCCTTCGTTTATCAAGTGAAACATTATAGGGGCGCATATTTGTTGACAGCCCTCGTTTACCAAGTGAAACATTATAGGGGCGCATATTTGTTGACAGCCCACTGCCCCCCCCCCCCAGAAAAATAGTACCCAGCACGCCACTGCTATACCAATTAATAATGTATCATACATTCGTATTTTATAAAGTACAGTGTGATGACTATGAGAGTTTTCGTGTTCACTATGGCTGAATACATTTATGAAAAGCTAAAACTGATACAGACAAAATACATTGTAAACACAGCCTATTTTTAATAGGCAGGCGCTAAACCGGTGTAAACTATTATGCAAAGATGAACATGAACAATACCGTCATTAGTATTTTTGCACAGGTGAATAAATATATAACAAATCCTAAAAGTTGTCAAGTTGATTGGTCAAATTTGACAAATTCCCCGATAATCATGGCCTCGCCTTTGGCGAAAAAGCCAAAGGCGCAACTAATAATCGTGTGTAATTTATACTTACACGTGATAGTTTCCAAATATTTTGTATTTGCCAAGAAACTTTTGTCACAATTGTTTCTATAAATCTATTATCTATACGATAAAGAAGAAGTTCTGCAGTGTAAACTGTACTATACATACTATAAATACAAATATTATAATAAAATTTAAATATTAAATAAAAAATATTACTGAGATGATCCTGTTATCCCACAGGCTATATCTATGAAATTGCACTGGAATATAACTGATAGTATATTTTACCTTGAATTATCATGCACAAATTTTCGTTCTCTGTTTAGATTTTAATTAATATAATTATACGAAAATCTTAAAAATAATATAATTTCAAAATCGAAAGTCCAAAGTCCATAGTCCAGTCCAGTGTTTACAATATGCCGGTAGAATATATAATAAAATAACAAATCCTTGTATGGATTAATGTTCATTTCACACGCACGCTATTAACAGCTGCTTAATAATTAACTTATGTATTCGTAAACATTTATACTCGATAGTCGATATGTAAAATGGTACATTATATGGATCAAACTGGAACAAAACAACAATTGAAGTTCTAATTTTGGGAAATTTAGTAGTAAATATAATCCCTAAACAGCTCATCGATTTGTATGATAGCGCTATTAAAAGCAGACAATATTGAACAGTGATCTGAAGTTATCATGCAACTGACAACAATATTAGGCCTATATCTCAAAATACCTGTATATGATGTTATTTTACAAATATATCAGGATTTTTGGACCAATTTTAAACTTAGCAAGGTAAAAGGTCTCCATTCAAGAATATATCTTCTTCTCAAAAGGTAAAATACTTAGAATACTTGATTAAATTGTTTACTTCGACGATATGTAAATTAACAGCGTTTGACTTGCAAGACGTCAAAAACGGACGATTTCAGCGCGCTGTCGTTTATCGCGTATTCATTTGCCCAAAGAAGTATTTACATCAATTGAAAGCTTGTTTATCAAAGAGCCAACTAGTAGAAGCATGATCGATTTGGAGCTTTATCCCATAGTGAAAATCGGTTATGTTAAAAGGGTATCGTAAATGAAGTAAGATAGTGTGCTCCAAAACTACGATTATTTCTATTCCTAAAAGTAACTCAGATTTCTTGTAAGTCAGGTACCTGGGCCTTTGAATAACCGAAAACAAGATTTTTAGGGTTTTAGATCGATTAGAAACGGTTGTCGTCGTGAAATTTGTCGGTAAAATCAGCGCATATTTTCCCAGACAAAATGGCGATTTAGGGTGGTCGTGTTAAAACGGCATTTTCTCAAAGTTAAAAAAGCATTTGACCTAAAAATATATATGGTGCATTTTCCGATATAATAAGGTATATCTGGGCAAAATTTGAGCAAAATCGATTTTTCAGTCGTGGCCGCGAAATATCTCATATGTTCGATTTTTACTGACATTCACTCCTAAGATGGACATTTTGAGTGATTAAGAAAAGGAAATTTTTTGGGTTGAAATGCTGAATAATGCAAACTGGACAAAGTGACACACTGACAGAAATATCAAAGTTGTGCCTGTCAAAAACACTAGAAATCACGTATTTGTACCGGTCAATGACTGCATGGCTGGATGCTTATTTCCAGGCTTGCTAAAACAAAACGATGTTACTTGTCACAGGGAGAGTCTTGTGCTCTAATCGGTTAATGCTAAGTGCCCAATGTATCAACTCACACAAGTTCACCACTTGAAAACAACAATTATCAATACTACTATATCAGGGGCTCTAACTTGTTCCATTCGTTCTTGTGTTTTGTTATCCATTGACTTAAGGAGCCATAATCCAGGCCCTTAAGAAACTGTCTTTGAAATTAGTCATAACATCATAACTTCTCGTGATAGTTGAAGATTTGGTGAAAACATTTCCTTTGCTTCATAGTTCTTTAACTATCGATACCAAATCATCATGTGATTTTTTCACCTTGTGATGACATGACGACCTTTTAACATTTAAATCTGAATCAACTGATTCCAGCAACTTTTCCACATTATGTATAGATTGACTGCACCTTTGTGCTGCACTTTCTGTTACGTTTGGCCCCAGGTGTTTTAGAAGTCCCTTTAACAAGTTGGTAAGGTGTTCTAGCCTCAAGGCTAAGGCAATGTTTTTGCCTGGGCCTCCTTTGTTATTAACATAACGATTCCACATTAAACTATGGGAAAGTTTGGGATTTAGCATAGCTTGTAACCATGCCTGCAACTGCAATGCGGCAAGCGCATATTTGTTGTGACCATGTAACCTGAATAGCAACATGGCAAATTTCCAACATCTTATTGTACGCTCGCCATCACCCTCTTTAACTGAGTCATCGAAGTTTCTCAAAAACAATCGCATACTGAGACGTAGCGTAGCATAGTTGTATCGATCATCACTTACAGAAACTGGCTCTTTTAGATCAGAATGCATGTCCTTTTCTAATGCTTCTTCTGGTGGTTGGAAATTTGGATATGTTCTCTCTTTACGTGGTTGTCTTTGGCTTTCAAATATGTATACACTCTTCCACATACACTGCACGAGAATGTGTCAACATGTTGCTTCTTATTGGAATATGCAGCTACTGTGTTTCTCATATCTTTGAGTTGTTGTTGTTGATCAGCCATTACAAATCTTAAAAATAGTCCAGTAAACAAATGTTGACAAAAGTGAACTGCAAAGAATAATGAATCGCACATGTAATATCTTGTGTGCCTTAATGTTAACAGGTTAGGTAATATGCCTAATGCATAATAAAGCTGTGATGTGTGCAGATAATTCTGGTACTAAAAGCCATATGGTAATCACAGATGGAAAATTTACTTGATTTAACCCTTTAAATGGCAATGATGCACCCTACTTTAGTATTTTACTCTGTCTAATGCCAGACGATTTTACTCGTCAAGTGGAGAGTGCTGCCACTCAATAGGTTAATGGCTACTTTTAGGCCAACATTCCCAACACGCATCACACCTTGTGACGTCATTTATGCATATAATATCTAATTCACAATTGGATCAATCATTTATAAAGCAAAGTACCAACCTTAAAAGCATTTCTTCAATTTACTTGTGCAACCATATTTCATTTTTTCAGTTCCATTAAAAATGTTGGGAGGAATGAAACATTCTGCTGGTGTTTCCAAGTAGTCTATGCTAAAGTGTGTCATTGCTGCTGCAGCTAGAATGAATGTGTTGGTCTCCAGGTTTATGTATTCCTTGCAGTGGTTGAAATTATTAAGGACATTTTTAGTCTTTGCATTTGAGTTGTTAATGACATCAAGGTTTGAGCATGTTGTACCCACATTATTTCCTGTATTTGTATTGAAGAATATGTCGTATAGAATCTAAACAGAGAAGCAATAATATTGTACATATTAAATTTGTCCATGTAATACTACCAGCTGGGTCCTGGGTGACTATATCATTACAGCATATAACATTTTGTGAAACGAGCAACAACTTGTGTTATTATCATTGTGTTTATAATTAAGTAACAATTTTACTCGTCAGGGGAGATTTTTTACAATTAATGTGAATGGGGTCATTTAATGTTTTGTGATGAGGACGGGCAGGACATTTTGTTTTAGTTGTTAATTGAATTATTCCAGCCCACCCCAGTCAAATAATTAATGGTCTCTTATATATACCTGGTAATGAATTCATATGGCATGCCAATCTTGCACCTTTGATAGAAAACCTTCCAGGCATTCAAACTTTGTATCACCATCAGACATTGCATCTATGCAGTTTTAACCCCTTTCATCAGTCAGCTGATCTCCACCAAAGAACAGCATCTCATTAACAATAGTTCTTTCTTCTTTATTTTGAATGGTATTGCGCGCACCAAAAATCATGGCGTGACATGAGTGATATTCGGGCCATAAAATTGAGCGATACTGAGCGTGACGATACACAGCGATACACGCCGTGTCTCAAACATGGCATTTTCGAGTGGGACATTGGGCAAGACATGAGCGGTAATGAGTGTGACGATACACCAGAGATACACAGCATGTCTCAAATGTGACATTTTTTAGCGAGACATGAGCGATGAGCGTGACGATACACCAGCGATACACGGCGTGTCTCAAACGGGAGATTTTCAACCAAATTTCACCGGTACTGGGCCATACATTTGTCAGGCCATAATTTTGTCTGGTCTGATTTTGGCTGTATTATGGCTCACACTTAGGCCGGAAATTAAGAAACGCAATCACATTTATGCAGACAAGTAAAATAACACATCAATACACACATACCAAGATAGCACGCACTGCTATTAAATCAGGTCAAAGATACAAAGTAAGGTTTTAAAAAATTAGTAAATTAAAAATCATTGACACTAGTTTACACTTCAAACTTTTGGATAAAATGCATTTGTAAAGTTAGCTTTTGTTCAAGTATAAAGTATTTCATGCATATTTTGTTTTTCCGTCGACAACGATTAAAATACTTTTATATTTCAAGATAACTCCACTTGATTGAAAGAACATCACACAATTGCAACGAGCTTTTGCTTACTAAAAGCCTTGTAGACTTGTTTAAACTAACAGACATATCATTATGAAGGCCAGTTCATATTAAAATGTATATATCAACATTGACATAAGATTAGGGATAACAATTACACTAAAAATCCCTTAGATAAATAATAAAACAAAATAAACAAACATATCTTTAAATTATATACTGTTTTTCTATTTGTAAATAGCTTCTTACTATATTTTTTAATAGTTATAGCTTCGACATTACTGACATTTTATATATATAATCTACGCTTAGCAATACCTGTAATTAGGTCATGCAAATAAAGCTTTATAATAATAAAAAAAGGCCCATTTATATGAGCGAAAATATTTATAGCTGTGGCTTTGAGATGGCCGTCGTGAGCGACTCGTATAAACGGTCAATTCGTCCGCAAGCGCCAAGTGGCGGCTAAAAAAGACAACAGGGTTGAAAGCTAGGCCTTCTGGCTGCAGGTTCAGACTTAATTTCGCCATTGCATTGTGACAAATATGAAAATCGGATTTATTTCGGCCTTGAATATTTTGTAGGCTTTTCTATCTAAAGGTTTTATGCCAATAAAAATATTGTTCGCAATGCATGCATGGTTTTGAAAGCGTAATAATATTACATTTAAAGTAAATTATGTATTGCGGTATCACACGCAAAACTCTGTACAGAACAGGTAACCGTTGAGATTAATTACTTACATTTAGAAGAAACTTGAAGACTGTCTCCATTGCATATATTGCCATTGCCTTGAATCTCAAAGTCGCACAGAAACTTTGCAAGGGAGACTATCACTTACCTTTAACTTCGCCTGGCCGAAGAATTACTGAGAATGTAGCGCAAAATATAATGATGATCATTGTTGAAAATCCGCAACTTTTCCCTTATTCGACCGACCATGTATGGTTCACTGCTTGAAAGCGATGCGTGTGTACAGCAAAATAAAACCAACTCAAATTGCGCGCATTGTCATCCGAGACACAACAAATTAAATTTTTAACATAATACTCTTGTCATGCTCAGTTTCTTTCAATTTTCGCCAGATATGATAATAATCTAACAATTTCATGGCAAGCAAAGGAATTTCTGTTGCTTGTCTCGCTCCGCCTCGCTATATTATCGTCCATGTTTCGCTGTAAAAGCAGCGTGACAATTGTCTCGTTTGAGCGAGACAATTTGTCTTGCGATGTCACGCTCATTCAGGCCAAATTTGCAGCCATAAACAGGCGATACAAATGTCTCGTTCATAACGGGCAGCGAGACAAAACCAATGTCTGGTTGCGTCTCGCTCAATTTCCGCTGCTTTAATTGGTTTATGGCCAGATTCTGGCCAGAATCTTGCTCAGTCAGGCTGTAACTTTTCGTATGGGTGCTTACAGGTAGATATTTGTTGTGAATTGTTTGAAGAATGTCTATCATTTCTTCATTTATGTTCTCATTCTTAAATAATAGTCCAACAGGTACCTACAACATGACATTAATGAACAGAAGATTAATAATGTAAATCTTGGCATATATGTAAATGCCAAGTTCATAGCTGCAACTGATGCAGTAACCTGAGTAACCAGGGTGTGATAATTCACATACTTACGTACCAGAGGTACGCCAACATTACGGTCTGGTACATATTTGTTAGCCAAGTACCATGTAGGTATGCAGAACTCTTGCTATCTGCGTACTTACTTTTTGTTGGTGCCATACGATTTTCCAAACCCAATGTATTAAAAACTGTAATAAAGTCAGTACATGACTGACATGTCTTGGCATGAAACATGACTGGACTAAGCAATGTTAGATCGAGTCGATTGTAGTATTTGTATATATGGAACTGCACTACTTATTATTTTTCAGGTTGCTGAATGAATACATTTCAGAAACCTGTACTTTGTGTACTTCATTTTAAAGACTAACTAACATCTTGAGTTTTAATCATGCATGCAGCTCATTAGTAAGCAGCAATAATCATTGGCGTACCAGTGAGGTATGACTAAAAATCGTGAATTATCACACCCTGGAGTATAACCCTATTTACCTACTCAATAGCTTTTAAATTGATAAGTCAAATTGACAAAAGTTTGAGATCAATTACACATCTCTTTGCTTACTTAATTTAATTATTATCTACAATTTAAGCCACCAGTCTAATGTATTAACCAAAAGTATTTGGACTTGCACAGGGACAAGCAACAAAACTAAAAAATCTGGCAGGCTCCCAGTGTTTCTGCAACAAATATTAAAAGATCCTTTTTCAATCAACTGCCGCAAATTTACTTGTATCAAGTTATCTACCTGTCAATCAGATGGGTGTCTATATATCACTGAAAAAAATATAATATACATATACTATATATTACACCTGGGTAGATTTCTGCTTCATCTTGTTGGTATACTTGTGTGGTATATGCCAAACAACTGATTTCTTAAATTGTTGCAATGCAGAAATATTGGTTACCAGAACACGACTTACAAGAGGAATAAAATCCTGAAGGATGTTAACGTTGTCTTGAGCAGATGGAAGAAACTGTGAATTCTCCATTTCAAGAACGGACATGATTGGTTTGTTATTGTTCAGCTGATTATTTTTCACTCTGTTGACGACAGCATTTATGTTAAACCAATGTATACTGGAATTCTGATTTGTGCTTGACATGTCCTTCACCTTAACATACAAGTCCACATTGTCTCCAGTCAGTTGATACCCAGGGGCATGAGACAATTCAATTTTCATCTGAGTATATTTTAGGTTTTCTTCGTATGAAGCATGTGAACTACACAAGTTCCTAAGTTTATCCATGACTTCGTCGATGATAGCCTCGTTGAATCTTCCTTCAACTGCACCTTTAGCTTTAAGTTTCTCTTTTAATATGTTCTCATCAATACCATACTTTGTATGTAGTGACTCAGTTTGAAATGAAGGATTAGCTATTTGACTATCACTGACAGATTCAGTTGTGATAATTGGTGGACCAACAAGGCTTGTTGGAACAAGCTCTTCTTTATTGATACTCTGGATGAATCTAACAGCTGATTCAAGGTTGTGGCTATGCTCAAGAATTTGTTTCCATGTCTTAATTTGCTCATCAAAATTCAAGCCAAATTCATCAACCTTAAAGTTCTCCAATGACTCATTGAAATTCCCCACCTATTCAGTCTTTTGAATAGCTATAAAGCAGTAGTACTGTGTTAATATGGCTGACATCAATTAAGCATCTGTTAATGGCTACCATTAGGGCTGTATAAATTTTAAATTAATCACCAGGAAGAGCAAGGAAATCCGCCAGGGGAACCCCTTATAGGGGAACCTCTCCCTGTTATCACCATTTTAATATGGGACTTATGGTGTTAATAAACTAAACACTTTCAACTAAACACTTTCAAACATTCATTCAATATAGTTCTTTGATCAAACACCTTCAGCATGGTCAATTAGACAGTGTTGAAGCCATTTGAACATCTCAGAAATCAGTAAAGGCTAGTTAAACTCTATTAAAGTTTTTGTGATACAATACTCAATAGGAATTTTGCATAGGTAAATAATATAGATAAATAACTGATTCAGTGTTAAAACACTTGCCTAGTCGCTTCATATGTTTCTTACAATTTCATATGCAAAATTCCTACTGTAATCACAGAAACGTTGATAGAGTAAACCAGATGAAAACACTGAACCGTGTGAATAAAGTTGCCTAACTGTCGCCTCGTAAAATTATGTGATAAGTGAGTACTATTCTACTTGCTCGTTTTTAAGAAATGAAAACCGCATGTTTTGCCCGTTTGTTTGCAATACAAATATAAAGAAAATAAAGTACCTGTTTCTCAGCACCTCCATGCCACAACAATAAGGACAACCGGTAACTTAGTGCTGAAAGTGCAGGGTTTCGGCATCTTAATAATATAGAAGTTGCCATGCTTAAAGCCCTCACATTTCTTTATCCTTCTCATCATATTCTTCTTCAACGGCATGTTTAACTTTGCCTGAGCCGGCAGCGCGAAGAATTCTTTCCATAGTAGGTGCACGATTCTTTAGTTCAGAAGCGATGCAAGCATCTGTAATGTTTATTACATTATGAGGATATAATTGGCCAGAATAGATGGGTTTCTTCTACTCCAAAGTCTTTTAAATTCATTGACAACATCCTCGATTTTACACATGATCATGTCTTTAAGATCTCTTGAGTCCCATACGGCATTTGCAATGGAAACACGTTCATTGTTCGCTACTCCTATTATGATCTTGGCATCTAACTCTTTAGTTATAGTTTTGCGCTTCTGTGTAGACGGATAGTCTATTGTCACCTACATTATAAACAAAAGCTCAATATTTAAAATTTGTTCAAGTATTGTACAATGTACAACTTTACTTTTATACTATAGCTCTTTTGAGAGATGTTATAGGTAAATTATAGACTCGGAAGTTCTGTTAAAAACATAGGCGTTGGCTGTAAAATATTTCGTCAAACTTCTGTTTCACACGCTTTTCTTTTCACGGGCTTTTCATTTTTTGGAGAATCTAAAAACTTGCACCTTTTAAAGCGTTCACCAGAGTTCTCTTTGTCATTTACTATAAATGTTCTTTGCCCTTTAGCAGTTCTCTCAGGCGTTTCTTTAAATCTAACAAGATCGGCTGTTGCCTTTTCCAACCTTTCGAGGTTCCTCTTGCAGTTCAAAGATATCGTAGAAGAGGTTCCATCCTTCGACACAGAAGTTTGGAGAATGCACAACAACCTTTCAGCAAGTTTATCCTGAACTGATTTGGCACCTTCGAAAATGTTTAGCTTCTCTCTGCCAGAAATAGGTATATTGATACCACAAATTCGACAGAAGTGGTTTATGTTATTATTTTGCTTATTAATAACTTTTTTACTGGGGTGTTTTCTATAGACATATTTAATATAGTTTACGCTCGATCGCTTTTCTGACACGCGCCATCACGGTTTATAGTGGCGCCATCATGGTTTATAGTGGTGCCATCATGTCAACACTAGAAATTAGAAAACCGGTTTTTCTCTGACATCATATCTGTAGTAAACACCAAAGTGAGGCTGGTTGCTTGTGTGACCAGAGCCTCCTCGTTGTGTCCTCACTTCATAAGAGGCTCTGGTACCCAGGGTAGCCCAATCTCAGAGTGGTCTATATATTTTGAATATTTATTTGGAATATTTAACTGTTATAATATTTAATAATGAAATAATTCAAAAAATATTAACAATATATGTAAAAAATATATCTCACTTGTTAATAGAATGCATTTGTTGTGTTTCTGAGTCTAGTTGATGCGATTGCTTTACATTCTCATCATACTTGCCGGTCATGAGTACTAACACTGGACTACATAGGATAAGAATAACTACAAGGCTAGCAGCCACTTATCTGATATACCCTCCGACATCGCTTCCAATATCTCGCCTCAGAATCATTGCAGAGCAATAAATTTCACATCCTCTAATAGTATGAACATTCCTCTTTCGAAAGAACTTGGTTTGTTCACCATTGCGGCAATTCCCGCGACACACGACAAACTTTGTCTGTCAAAAATCAATTTCAATTTTTGAAATTTGAACCCTGGAAATGCCATTTCCTGAGTTCTGAGCATCGAATTCTATCATATAATTCTATCATATAATTCGTCATTAATTACGCCATATTTTAGACAGCAAATAACGAAACGCACTAAATAAGTCAAATATTTAAACAACATACCATGTTCTTCAGCTAACATTACAACATTAGTATGTTACAAAATCACCGTACTTACATAAAACCACAACTCTGTACCATCAACAAAGGCTGCAATACTGTTCCTGTGTATTTCAGGTTCTTCGTAGCAAAAAATTTCCATTTAGGGGTTGTACATTGAACTCAATCATCTTGGCATTTCAGTTGCAACATAGATCTTTTACGGGGTGGGTTTTTTCAGCTTCTCGTCGATACCAAGTGTCTTATTCTCGATCATTTGCTTAAACTGTGTAGCACGGAGAGCTGCCGTTGCATGAACATTGGATTTTTCACCATGCTGACATAGTTTCTGGACAGTTGAAGCACTTGGAGGAAGGGCACTGCTCATCAATTGTTGGAGCTTGCCTGCATTATGCGTGTTTTCACCGCCAAAAAGAACACAAGTGACGCAAAAACCACCGTTTGCCACAGCAGAGTAAGCCAACCATGGAAATCGTGATAACCATGCCAACCCGAAACGTCTACCAATATTTTCGTGTGGAGGAAAAGAAAAATCAGAAGCAGGTTTCCAATGATTGCACAGAATCAGGAAGACTGGACACCAGATTTACGTAGTTGTAGATATCATCGGCCACAAATTGGTAGAAGTTCGTTGTGTTTTGGTGTTAGATTTTTCCGAAGTAGGACCAGTGTTGGGAGTTACAGATGAAATTCCTTTTCTAGTGCTGGGAAATTTGATTTCATTGTCTACAATTTCTTGTGTGTTGCATGCTCGTTTCACAAGAAGCGCATTGAGCTAAGCTAATTTGTTTTCTTTTTGTACCAGTCGTCTGCTTTTTATTAGATGTAGTCACTTGTGTAGAGAAAATTCAAAGCAAATTATCTATGAATTTAGAAATATTGTACCTGCAGTCTTCTCTGTGTTAATTTTCTCAGTGGAAGCTCCAAAATTTGCACACTTTGGTCACCTATTTTAGCTCCAGAAGGTCCAGAGATTTCATCATTGGGACCACCATCATTAAATTTTTTCGCTGCTTTTGAGGGTGGATTTCTGGCCCTTTTTCTATTACGATTATTTCCCATTGATATAATAACACTAAGAGATTGATAGTACTAATCAACTAGAAAATGCCACTTTTCAAATCAATAAGATGTAAAATAACGAAGATTATTGAAGAGAATTGACACGCTGTTGTAAATATTTTTAGACCGCTCACAAAATTACTTTTCAAAGTTTAAGCTGCAAAGCCATGCAATTTTTCTAACAACTGTGAGTGGCAAGGTGAATGGAGTTAAAGTATGTTGCCCAAATGTTTACAGATCGAATGATGCATTCTAGTTGTGTTTTTAAGGTGAGCTTTTCACAGTAAGAGGTTATATTGAAGTTATAGAAATTAAAGAAAACTTTATCGAAACATCAAACATGCACAGCCTCAATAAATTACTACAGAAACTTCAAATCATGATAAAGATTTAAAATCATAACAAGTTTTGTTATGTTTAGTTTGGAAGCCACTACTTTAAATTTTTATGGGATATATGTAAGACTTTGTACAAGCTTTTATACAGTATCCTGAAGTTATTCTGGCTATATATAAAACTGATTTGTTCTTGTATATCTTGTATGTAGTTCTTCAACTGTATGTAGTTTTCCTTCACTCCTTCTCCAACTGATTCTCACAATACTAGTGCAGATCGCGGCGCGAGCGGTCTGGGTACCACAAATATAAATCAAGCAAATGCATGCGCATTTATCCTCTTCTTTTCATGGCGCGCTTCGGCCAACCACAGAGTAGTTTTTTGGCTCAAAATTTGTGAATTATCATCAAGTTGAAATAAATAATGATGTCTGATGATTCTCAGTCAATTGTAAGTAGATTATACGTCTAAACTGTGTTTATTGTATTGTTTTAATTGTTATTCAAGCAATATATTTCGAGATAGGATATGCCACATGTTTGCCTACTTGAAGGTACGAGTCAATGACCGCCTTCTATTTCTTCTGCCTTATAGAGCAACGTTACTCCAGATGTCCGATCCACCAGGCGGGCATTGGAGATCAGGGGGAAACTATAAATTAAGTGCAAATCGAGAAAATTGTGGCTGAAAAAACTGTGGCAAAGACTATGCCAATTATGCTCACCTTCATCTACAGGTTTTCAACCCCAGTGAATTGTCAACCAGGCTCCCCAACCAGAACGTGAGGGCACACCTGACTCATCTCCACCTCCTTTGAGAAGTGAGAGATTTTATAGTAAAGAGTCATCAACTACCATTACTGATGATCTCATTGAGCTTTCCAGGAAAGCATTTTCGACTGCCCTTTCAAGAGAAAAGTGGCTTGAACTAGTCCAGTCATATTCCACCATAAATGATACTGACTCCTTTTTGATAGCCCCTAAAGTAGAGGCTGGTATGAAGGAGCTTTGCATAAGCATCATGGCCATTTAAAAACCAAAGATGTTTTGGCCTTCGACGAGGGTTTGGCTGAACAACAAGCCCCCTCTGTTATAGTGGCCCGCCCTTTGTTAGTGACCTTAATGGCCTTGGATGGTCCTGGCGATGAGGGAGATGGCCCTGGACCCTGACTCACCTTGAGGATGCACTGGTTATGCTGGGGAATGCACATGTTAGGCTAAACAATTGGCATCAAAGACGCTTTAGTGAATTTCTCTGACATTTGAAAGCATACTCTAAAGGAAGGCATTCCAACTGACAAGCATCTGTTCCCAGATAAATTCCATGAGAAGATCAAGGATGAGCATGACCACTCCACCACTACCAATAAGGTGATTAGTTCCCCTACTTCTAAACCTGTTATGTTTAGTCGTCCTGCCCACCAACTTAGGTATCAGCCCTTTCGTGGCAGCAACACCAGTAGAGGTTTCCATATCGACTCACGACAACCAGCCAAACGAGGATGGCCATCTTCTAACCGGTCAGTTATGACTATCCGTTTCCAGTCCTAAGACATATCCATTGTGTAAATACTCCTTCCGGCCGTTTAGTTCATTTTTTAGACAATTGGAAAACTATTACCCAGGACAATTTGGTTCTTCAGACAGTTGTAGGTTACAAAATTCCTTTTACGTCCGCACCTCGCAAGTGGCGACCAAGAATCACAACAACCAGGTCCAGCATTCAACAGAAGCGCATGGAAACTGCTATTCAGACACTTCTCAAGAAGGCAGCAATCAAGGCGGTTCAACCAGCTGAGAGTCAATTCATTTCCTCCCTATTTCTAGTGGAGAAAGTCCAGTGGAAGGGAGAAATTCGACCAATTATCAACCTGAAACCCTTGAACAGATTTGTTGAAGAATGGTCCTTCAAAATGGAGGTCTTCCAGTAGTTTGTTCTTTCATACAACCAAACGATTTCATGATGAAACTGGATCTCAAGGACACGTATTATTCACTCCCAGTTCACCCAGAGTTCTGCAGATTCCTACGCTTTGTGTTCAACAGGAAGGCTTTCGAGTTCCAATGCCTCCCATTCGGGTTGAAATCAGCCCCTCGACCCTACACCAGGCTAATGACTCCAGTCATAGCCCATATCCGGAGTTTGGGAATACGAATTGTCATTTACCTGGACGACATTCTCATCTTACATCAGGATCCCAGTGTTCTGTAATCTATCTTCAAGAAGGTTGTGAGCCTTCTCGAGGGAGTGGGATTCCTCATCAACCTGAACAAATGTTCTCAGTTCCCATCTCAGCAGCTTATCTTCTTGGGAACAATACTCAACACTGTCACAATGTCCCTGTCTTTGCCGACAGAGAAGCTGGATCTCATCCAACAGGGAGCACTCCAGCTACGTACCAAAGGCAAGAGTACACTACAGGAGTTAGCAGCACTCCTGGGACGCATGAGCCATGCAGCTCTGAATGGCATCTGGTTGGCTTCTCTGCATTACAGAGCACTTCAGAGGGTTCACTCAGCTGGGACCCTAAGAGTTCACAAGATGTCAATGACATATCCATGCAGCATCATTATTCCCGACATTCAACAAAAGTACACTCTGGGAGGGGGCTCTTACCTTTCAAACTGAAAGCACAGTGACCACACCCCCTCACCTGCCCAATAATTTCTAACAGCATTTTGACAATACTTATATACCTGACTATGTGTAAAAATTCTATATTAATGATTCTACTTCCACAAAATATAGTAAACAAAAGGTACTTACTAGAATATTATAGAACCAGTGCTGCATTAAATATATTTAGCACCATGACATCACTCCAAAAACTGTTCTTTTACTTATATCCTGGCCACTCAGGAACAGAAGTTGTACATTGTCCATACTTAGGATCGATTTTGGCAATTGAAATAATCTTCATTAAATGTCCATTTATGATGTTTCACAGGAGACTGTCATTGTATGACTAGGTTTGTAAATCTTTCTACTGAGGAGCTATACAAAAAACAATGATCATGCTTCAGTACACAATAAACCTCACATATATTTGGTCAAATAACAGATGGGTTATTTATCAATAAATATAAACATCACAGATTCACAGTGAAACATACATATAAAAGCATTACCTTTGTTGGTTGTCTTGGGTGATGTTCCAGGATGTTGGAACAAAGCTCGACTGGATGTTGCATTACGGGAAAGCCTTCTGGTTTCCCTATCTGGCTTGCCCTGGTATATTACCACTCGAAACATCAAACATATACACGCTTAGCAGTATTCTCATTAGCAACATCACAAGATTCCATTTCATAGCAAATCACACATATCCTATTATTAATAATGCAAACAACATTGCTTTTTCCAGTAACTGTACATATCAGTCTTATAATTGAAAATAGATAAGAAAAATTGATAAAGCATATGAATTCACATGTGCAAATTATTTGCCCTAAAAGTACCAAATAACCCAAATAAAATATTTATATAGTAAATTTCAGTACCCAAGAACATATTAATAAATACCTTCGAAACTTTCGTGATTTTCAGTGAGAAAAAATCCAATGAAAACTCTCAATTATTTCATCAACCGCACATGAAATTCACAATTGAGAAAAAATCCACCGTAATGGTATACTGATTATTCTTCCTCTGCTCCTGCAGCTGCTGCATAACCGATTGGCTACACATCCAATCAGTCAGATGGGGATTGTCGATTACAACTTGTGCTCGCTCAGTCTGGTTGCACCTTTTTTTTATTTAGCTTTGCCAACTAGGGCAGGGTCACCACAACAGTATATGCCAATTACTGTGGGCCCTTTTTACCTAACCCACCCTATGGGAGGAAACCGGAGTACCTGAAGGAAACCCACAACTTTCGGCAGAGCGTCGACTTTTTACTCTTTTCACATGAGGACTGGGTTCGAGTCGCATTGAGAAAGTTCTCACTGAGGCTTGAACCTTAGAGGTAAAAGGCAAGTGTGGTAACCACTTGGCCACCAGAGCCCCATAATGTACATCAATCTTCTTATCTTCTTTATATCACATCATATAAATCTCAGAGGAGGCGATGCGCGATGTTTTGAAGAACAAATGAAGCCAACCTAATGGTTCACACTCAACCCATTTGGTTCACACTCATGGAATTGACCATCTGCTTCAGTTCCTCCCAATGGTCAATCATGTTTTGATCAGCAGGATGTTGACGCAAGTAAATATTCGCTTGTGACAACTGCTGATGCTCTTGTTTCATATTTAATGCACAATAAGGAAACCGTGAAGCAAACCTCCATTCAAATTTACCCTCTTCAGTTAACATTATTCCATGTTGTCTTGCCCTATTGATTGGGTCAACCTTCTCATAAGGAAACAGTATAGGGAAGGCTATAGTAGCTAAACGATCGGTTTTAAATTCATTAACGAGATTACCTTGAGTAGACGGCCAATTCTCAGCAGTTTATCATTCCCTTCTTGGTCATTTTCATTTGCAATTGCTCTCTTATCAACTGTTTAGGATACTCTGTTTTGCTTACGTTTAACTTCTGGAGTCCTTTCTTGCCATGCTACTATTCATTTTGCCAAGCGACTTTCTCTTTCCTCAGCACTCTCCGGCTTATTTCTGTTGCCTATAGACTCTGTTAGATTAATTTTGTTTACATTTTGCTTGAGCAGGCTTTTTCCCCATGATTCTTTGTTTTGCCAAGTGAGTTTCTCTTTCCTCAGTACTCTCTCCAACTTCTTCCTGTTGCCTATAACACTCTCTAATACTCCCTTTGCTTACCTTTTGCTTCGGCAGTCTTTTTTCTAATGCTTCTCTGCACTTTCCCAGGTGTGTTTCTCTTTCCTCAGCAGTTTCTTGGAGCAAATGTTGTCATCTTTGCTCCCTTCTTTTCACTAGATGTTCGGCTTTCTAATAAACTTTAGACTTCGCTAATGCTTTCGTTTCCCCAGGTGTAAATAACCGGTTAGTACCCTTGCCCTCACCCATTTGACTTGGGGAACATAAAGATTACTTCAGATTTCACCAATAAAAACATCTATTGAATATACGAGTTGTAAATATAAAACATTGAATCTCCTTAAAGCTAGTAAGGCCAAGTATTACCAAAACAAAGCAAGTCAGCTTAAGGACGGTCATCCCTCTAAATGGTAGAATCAAATTAAGAAATTAACTAGGTCACAGCGGCATAAAGAAAATTGGCAGAAACAATTGGAAATGAAGATGGGTTGTGATTTGTGACGGAACTTGCTTTCCCGATTGCTTTGATTTACAATTCATCATTGCAGAAATGCTGAAAAAATCCCTAGTTCACCCAATCCCAAAAGCTTATCCCCCTAAAACAATTGAGGAAGATATACAACCAATAAGCGTTACATGTCAAATTGCCAAAGTGTTAGAAGGGCTTACTTGTAAACGCCTCTTATCTCAACTGTCTGGAAAAATTGACGAGAAACAGTATGCACAGAAAGGAAGGTCCACGACTGATGCCTTAATTGATTTGTTACATCTTGTATATGAAACTCTTGATAAAGGACACTGTGCAATTCAAATTTTTTTGCGGATTTTTCGAAGGGTTTCGATCTGATTGATCATAACATCCCTTACCAATAAATTGGAATCCTTAGGTGTCCATCCCATTTTACAACAATGGATTGCTGCCTTCCCGTACCAATAGATCCCAGTGTGTCCAATTAATAAATGGAATTAGATTGGAATGGAAAACAACTGATGGAGGAATTCCGCAGGGAACAAGGTTGGGTCCAATTTTGTTTAATGTTATGGTCAATGAATTGGCAAAGAAATGGGGCAACAGAATTAAATTTGTTGATGATTTAACTGTAGCAGAAATAATACCAAGGAATTCACCGAGTTTATTACATATGATTGTTGAAGAAGAAATCCATCGATATGCTGTTACGAATCGCATGACATTTAACCCGCGAAAGTGCAAGGAAATTATCATTAATTTCATGACCTATGATAACATTGCATACTGTCCCCTTGTCATAAATGGAATGGTTGTTGAATGAGTTAATAGTTATAAACTTCTCGGATTAATTATTAACAATACTTTATCTTGGTGTGAACATTCCCTTGAAAAATGCAAGAGAGCTTCTAAACATTTGTTTGGACTTCGCCAACTTAAACAAGCAGGAATTAATCATAAAGATCTTGTGATGGTGTATTATACGACCATACGCCCAATCCTTGAATATGTGTCTCCGGCATGGTTGAACATCCGGTTATATATAAGTAACCAACTTGAGGATGTCCAAAGACAGGCATTGCATATTATTTACCCAGCATCAGAATACAATGACTCCTTACGAATCTCTGGACTCACATTGCTATGTAGGAATGTAGGAATATCTTGTTCCAAAAATATAGGAATACAGTACAACAACCATGTCATCCTTTAAACCATCTACTAGATGTGGCTGAGTCTTACTCCCACAGTTACAGCCTGAGATCGGGAAATTCAAGAGCATCACATAAAGTAACTAAAACAAGACGGTGCGAAAACTTCATCCTTTTCTGCTACTAAGACATTACAACTGTCTTTCAAGCAATGTCAGTGACTGTGAGAATATAGTATATGTAAATATAATAGTATAGAATTTAAATATTTACCTTTATAGACATTTTAATTAAGCTAATTTATCGTAATTTTAATTGATGCATTACCCTGTTATTCAATTATTTGCCAGAGGGTTTTTAACAATAATAATCATCATAATATAAAAAAAATTCTTTAACCCACACAATGCTGATTATGAATAATCACAATAGGTTTTAACCTCAGGTTTTAACCTTCACTTAGGAGGTCCAAAAGCACATCTTGCTCCAACAAGGGTGTCTAACATCGACTTGTTCTTCTTGTTCCCCCATCAAACATTACAAACATTAGGCCCAGATAGTAGTGGAAATAAAACGCTTTTATCCATGTGACCAATCTTTCCTGCAAGGTCGAAAAATGCAATCATATTCGGACATACTTTGTATAGATTATAAAGGGCTTGCTCCTTCCTTGATTTCTTGAATTCGGAGGTTAAACGGTATTAGGGGAAATCAGCTGTCAGGATCCATCGCTGTTGTTCATAAAGCACATGCATCTTCTAATTCATCTGATATTTCTTCCATCATATTGTCGTCCACATTGATTGCGTACAACTTCCACAGGATATTTAGGTGTTTGTATAAACAAAAAAACAAAAACATGTCCGCTACCACAGCCAACCCTAGCGTTAACAAAGAGAGACGACAGCAAATTTTTGAAAAATCCAAAAGCAATCCAACTTGAGCGAAACTTTCTAACAAATGGTCACAAAACATGTTAAGAAATTTTGGTGAAAGGCCAAGGTGGGACCACAGGCAATCCAAGCCTTAGCAAAGGGGGGAGCATAGCAAATGATAACTTGTAAAGTGCTCCAACCTATGCAAAAGTTTCTATAAAATGATCAAGAAAACTCGATTTATAAAAAATTGTTGTAAAGATGCTGTAATGTAAATTAACAAACACTTTGTTTACATTTTGCCCTGTTATATTTCTAAAATATGATTTTCTAACTGAATATCTAACATTTTTCTGGTTCGCTATGCTTGTAAATCTGCCCCGGATCGTAAAAACATCAAAAGTGGCTTGTTTCGCTGATGACACGAAGGTTCTAAAGCAGGTTAACAGCCGCAAACATACCGTTGGTCTTCAAAGTGATATTGACAACATCAACACTTGGGCCAGAGAGAATGGTTTGAAATTCAACCAACCAAAATGCAAGTGGCAGCATATTACATGCAAGAAAACACAATTTGAATATCCGTACACGATTAATGGTCAACAACAGTATTGTGAGTTATTAAAAAAGATCTTGGTGTCTGTGTGTCGAGTGATTTGACCTGGAACAAGCAAGCTATTGAGCATTGTTCGAAAGGGAACAAACTGTTGTGATTCCTAAGATCATCCCAGGAGATAAGAAACCCAGTAACAAGAAGATGCTTATATCTCAGATGCTTATATGTGGGCTCCTCAAACAATTGAGCTGATAAAGTGAGTTGAAAGAGTGCAGCATCATGCAACAAAGTTTATCCTTAACCTAAGTACCTACAAAGAACGTTTAAAAGCCTCCAACTTACTACCAATTAGTTTGTGGCATGAATATTTAGATTTGGTACATTTTTTCAAAATGATTAATGTTCAGTGTATGCAAATAAAGATATACTACCAGCAAGAAATCTTGGCAATGAAAGGAAAATGAGAGCAACAAGCAATCCAGACCTTATGTTGTTCCAGTGAACTCTACACAACTGGAATGATAACTCCTATGCTCAAGTGCTATGATTGGTTGAAGCTAAAAGTGGGAACTGTGCGGTGAAAATGCACTTTCAAAAAGACTACGGTGAGTTACGAGGAGTGCGAAATTCGTCAAAACGTTGTTTGAGCGAAAATTAGCAAGAAAAATCCTTTTTCACCAAAAGACTTCGAGTTAAAATATCTAAACCTGTATATATGACCAATATTTTAACGTGCCGATGAAAACTTCGCCTTACAGCAACGAAAAAAATAGTCTCATCCAACAACTAGTGCCAGTACTTCCAGTGAAGGGACGGTGAACCAAATAGAAAGCAAGAGAAATGACGAGCAAGTGTGCTACAGGTGTGGCGGAAATCATACTGCAAAAACTTGTAGATTTAAAACAGCAAAATGCTTTAAATGTACAAAAATAGGTCATATAGCATCAGTGTGTCGTAGTAAAACCAAAAACCAGTAAAGAGGTTAAGCCTGGTTCAACATCCAAACACGGACAAGCAGATAGAGGTAACATTCAAAATTTATCATTGTACGATAGTAATAACGATAATGTCAATAGTGATGAATTAGGTATTTATTCTTTATATTCAGTAGAGTCAGACAACTGTTCTCATAAGAGATATAGTGTAGTAGTGTGTGACATGGAGATTGACACCGCTGCTGATTTCTTGATAATGAGTAAAAGCATGTATGATCAGATGTTTAGTCATTTTCCACTTTATCCGTCAGCTGTAAAATTGAAGACCTACACCAGCGAGATACTTCAGGTAAGTGGTGAGATGAAATGTGAGATTGTGTACCAAAATAAGACTTTTAGGTTGCCAATTGTGATAGCTAACTATGTAGGGAAACCCACTCTACTAGGTAAAAATTGGCTTGCCCAGATGAAATTAGATTGGGGCAGGGTTTTTAGCATAAAAACGTCAGAGCAAAGTAATGCTAGGGACCAACTTAATGTGTTACTGTCAAAATACAAAAACATGTTCGAAGACAGCTATGAAGGAATGAAAGGGTTTGAAGCACATATCACTATGAAAGATGGGGCAAGGCCAGTGGAAAGGGGCAAGGCCACTGAAAGAGGCTGTAGAAGCAGAGTTAGAAAAACTTGAGAGAAATGGTGTGATAAAAAAAACTGAGAGGACAAAGTGGGCAAGTCCAGTAGTAGTTGTACCAAAGGCCGATAAGTCTATAAGGTTGTGTGGAGACTATAAGGTAACAATAAACCAGTCAGTGCAAGACGAGCAGTATCCTCTTCCCACTACACAGGATTTGTACACTATGCTAACAGGGTCTAAAGTTTTTAGTAAACTCGATTTATCTCATGCATATGCTCAGCTAAATGTTGATAAAGAGAGTCAAGAGTATCTTACAATAAACACACATAAAGGGTTGTATAGCTACACTAAGTTACCTTATGTGGTTAAATCTGCACCTAAAATATTTCAGTCTAAAATGGATCAGATTCTCCAAGGGATAGAGAAATGTGTGTGTAAGCAGGATGACATTCTTATTGGTGGGAATGACTGGAGAGAGAATCTGAAGATATTAGGTGAGGTTTTAGAAAGATTATGTCAGCATAATGTACACTTAAAACAGTCAAAATGTGAGTTTTTAAAACCAGAAGTTGTGTACCTAGGTCTTAAAATTAATGAAAAGGGCTTGCACCCAGTAGAGGAGGAAGTGGATGCCGTTAGGAAGGCCCCTGTGCCATCTAACGTCAGTGAGCTAAGATCTTTCTTGGGTATGGTACAATATTATTCATTTTTTCCAAATTTGGCAACAACCTTAGCACCTTTGCATAAGCTTTTAAAGAAAGATGTCCAGTGGAAGTGGACGTCCGAATGTCAAAAAGCTTATGATGTTTGTAAACAAAGTCTTACTAGTGATACCCTGTTAGTACACTACGATTTAAATAGGAAATTAAGACTTGCTTGTGATGCATCAAGTTACGGACTTGGTACCGTTCTGAGTCATGTGATGGACGATGGTCAGGAAAGACCAATTGCTTACGCATCTCGCACACTTAGTCAAACTGAGAAAAATTATGCCCAAATTGAGCGTGAGGCATTGTCAATAGTGTTCGGGGTAAAAAAATTTCACCAGTTTCTGTATGGTCGAAATTTTACATTGATCACAGATCACAAACCACTATTGGCAATTTTGGGCCCTTGGTCTGCAATTCCCACACTTGCTGCTGCAAGGATGCAAAGGTGGGCATTGGTACTCTCTGCCTATGATTATGTGATAGAATACAAATCATCTGAAAAACATGCTAATTGTGATGCACTCTCTAGGTTGCCACATCAAAACTCAACTATAGGTAGTGAGAGTGCAATCTACCAGGTAAGTGCAATCGATGATGATTTTCCAATTACTGCAAAAGATATTGGGAAGGCAACTAAAGTTGATTCTGTTCTCTGTAAAGTATATTATTATGTCATGTCAGGTTGGCCTGAGAATTGTCAGGATGAAAATCTGAGACCATATCATAACCGAAAGCTGGAATTATCCTGCGAACAACATTGTGTTCTGTGGGGCTCCAGAGTGGTTATTCCACCAGTTTTTAGAGAGAAAATGCTCAATGAATTACATTGGGAACATCCAGGTGTATGCGGAATGAAAGCAATTGCTCGCACCTGTGTTTGGTGGCCCAAGATGGATGAGGATATTGAGAGGGCTGTGAAAGCTTGCACAGTGTGTCAGTCGGTAAGAAACACCCCTCCTCATGCACCACTGATACCATGGAAATGGCCGACCAGACCATTTCAACGTGTTCATATTGATTTCTGTCAAGAAGGTAAGGATTATTTTCTTGTGGTAATTGACAGCCACTCAAAGTGGATTGAAGTAAAACATATGACCTCTACTACTACCCAACGTACTCTTGATGAGCTTCGATTGATCTTTGCTGTTTATGGTTTGCCAGAGGAGGTAGTGTCCGACAATGGACCTCAATTTACTGCAACCGAGTTTGTCGAGTTCATGACTAAAAATGGAATCAAGCACACATTAGTCCCCCCATATCATCCGCAATCAAATGGGGCAGCGGAAAGGTCCGTGAGAGTGGTTAAAGAAGCTTTAGCCAAACAAGTTATTCAAGGCACCCAAGGCGTGTCTATGAAACATAGACTGGCAAATTTTCTCCTTAGGTATCGAACCACTCCTCACAGCACCACAGGTGTGTCGCCAGGAGAGTTGATGATGAAGCGCCGTTTGAGAACAAGGTTGAGTTTGGTTAAACCTGATCTAGCACAGGTCGTAGAGGGAAAGCAAGAACAGCAGAAAGTGTATAAAGATGGGAAAGGAAAGAGTGAGAGAACATTTGAGAAAGAAAGTGTTCGCGTGTTAAACACTAGAGCAACGAACAAAACTAACAAATGGATTTTAGGTACAGTAGTTAAGAGTTGTGGGCCGCGGACATATGTAGTAAAATGTGGAAAGAGAATGAGACGTGTGCATCCAGATCATTGATCAAGGCACAGGATGGTAGAGAGAATGGTAGCAATGATTTAAAAGATGATGATGACGAACCAGAGGTAAGTATTTCAGAATCTGGGGAACAGACTGTCGCAGATGACAATGGCGAAATAGCCACCGAGGTAAGTGAATCACTGATAGAGGTAGTTGAGAAAAATGTGACACCTGTGGTGTCTTCAGATGTTGTTGCCCAGCAGAAAGATCTTCGGAGATCTGGGAGAATCAGAAAGCCAGTAAATAGGTTTGGATGGTAAGTATTTTTTGTTTATGTTGTTGTTTGACTAATATTTATAAATAACTAAAAAAAAAAGAAAAGCAGTGTAATATATTAAGGTTCATATTAGCATAATTTATGCATATGCAGTGTAATATATTAAGGTTCATATTAGCATAATTTATGCATATCCCATAATGCTGTATGGGAATAAAAGAAGTGTGTTGTAACTCGACCACGTTGTTTGTTTTGCTTATATTCTTATACTAAAACAAGTCTCAGTATACTACATATAGTATGCTATATTATATGTTATGCTATATTTTACTATTTTATATAATATATTACGGATATTTGCTTTGCAAATCATGTGTAATAACCCATCTTTATATGTTCTCTAATTATATTATGTTATTTATGTCCTGGGAAGTGATTCAGCCAAAAGATACTGTCCAACCCGCATTTTCCCATTTTTGACCCCGACATCTTGTTTGACAAATGCCGGATATCTTTGAATTTTCAGAATTTTTTTTGACAGTCATGACGGCAGAGGAAAAATATTAAAAATCATGAAAGCACTGGCAAATAGCATCATTTGTTCAGGAATGACGGATAAATATTTATAAGGGTGCGCTCATTGTTCGTACCCCGGGTTCAAATAGGGTTAACGAAAACTTCGTTGGCTCAATGTGAGTACTCACTAAATACTGGGTTTTTTGTTTGTCATTACTTCTAGCTAAAGAAAAGATCTTGATGAGGACAAGAGCTTAATTTATGAAAAGTATGTCTGTGATGTTTTGGCCACCATCTCTAGCATGGCAAATCCCTTTGTCTTTTATCAAGCGAACCTTATTTGCAGCCTAGACCTAGGCCTTCTAGTCTTATTTATATATTTTTAATATTCAGTGCTTTTTCACATGAAAAGACTGGGACTAGGTGATTTGGGGGTGGGGCGGAGGAAGCAAGCCTAGAAGGCCTAGTGGATATCCCAACAACAAGGGCAAAACTGCCCTGAAACTGCCCTGGTTGCGAAATGCCCAATTATTGCGTTCTCGAACAGAATTATTTGCAACTTAACGGCGAATTTAAACCGATACAGGTAAAATAAACTCATTTATAGCATAAACTTACTATTTTTATTTGTATACACGTCTAGAAAATCGGGTTTTTTTATCATAAAGTTCGAAGCAACACTATTATTTAATATGTTGACAAGGTGTAGCGAAAGCACAAAATGAGTCAAAATATATACCAAAAGTAGAATCTTTCTTGAAATTTTGTCTTATACACAACTACATTAATATATATTTTCTGAATTTTGGCAAGAAGCAGTCTTGTGTTTGTCGAATATACAAAATAAAACGGAACATATATTATTAGCCCGTACAGTGCTGTATATAACAACGTACATTGTTTACAAATGGTATATCCGTAATATTTGAACAATAATTTCAAAATCCTCATTCCCAATTCGCAAATATAGTTATTCAAACAAAACAGTAGATTGTCTTGCGAATAAAAGAATTATTATTTTGTGCCGTTTCGCTACACCTTGTCAACATATATCAATAGTATTGCTTCAAACTGTATGATAAAAACCCCGATTTTCTAGACCTGTATACAAATAGAAATAGTAAGTTTATGCTATAGATGAGTTTATTTTACCTGTATCGGTTTAAATTCGCTGTTAAGTTGCAAATAATTCTGTTTGAGAACGCAACAATTGGGCATTTCGCAATCAGGGCAGTTTTGGCCTTGTTGTTGGGAAATCCACTAGGCCTTCTTTATTTTGCTTGCGTCAGGCTTGTGTCCTTCCTCCGCCCCGCCCCCAAATCACCTAGTCCCAGTCTTTTCATGTGAAAAAGCGCAGAATATTTAAAATATATAAATAAAAATAGAAGGCCTAGTCTAGGCTGCCTTATTTGTATTTTTATTGATGTAGAGGTCCAAACAGACATTGCTGACAGAATCCAACAAGCTGAAAAGCTTGGTGAGAATCGGTTCTCTGATTTATGCCAAAACAACTTATTTACTGATAATCCAGATGTTTTCATGAAAATCAAGAAAAATATGTTGCAAAATTTTCCCTCTAAAAATTGACAGTGAAGGACAGACAAATCCCCCAATTATCAATGAAGACAAGCAGAGATCTCTTTGCCAGATTGCTGATTTTGCCAAAAACTCGCGAAATCAACCTGAAAGAATTGCTCTGTATAGCCTGAGTGATTATCCGCTTTCCTTGGCAACTGTTAGTGAAGGTCTAGTGAAGACAGCAAAAGCCAAGATGTTCGAAATTTTAGAAGGTATGGCTCTTGTGATGGTAGGGACAGGTGATAGATTTTTAATTATAAATTCTTCAGCCTTATCTGACGTACTTGGACAAGAGCTATGCTCTTCCTTGCTGGGATTTCATGCCTTTTCAGGTACACGGATTGTTTGTATATTGCATACGTTAGGTGTACGTGGTAAGGAATTACAAAAACTAAGCAGGAATGGCGAAGCCATGGAAGATACTACAGGACAATCCGGACTTCGTTCAAAGTTTCTGCGATCTGGGAAATTCGTCCACTCTATCACAGGATCTTGTCATGTCGCTGGATGTATTTGTTTGTTTGCTGTACGGCGACAAATCTTCAAAGACTGTAGATGAGTGCCGATAAAGTCTTTTCACAGAAGGTAAATGTTCAGATGAGACTCTTCCTCCGAACTGTGATAGCCTGCTGAAACACTTGGACAGAGCATATAGTGAAGCAGCTGCATGGAGGAGTCGTTTCTACCCCCAGTCACAACTTTCCCCCGGTAGGTAATGGTTGGAGATTATCTGATGGCCAACTAGAGATTGTCTGGATGACTCGTCCATCTGCACCTGTATGTAGATTGCAATTGCAAGACGGCACTGCAAAAAATCCATTTTCGCTTTGAGTTATTTTAACACATAAATTTGCGTAAAATGCAATGTTTACTCAGATTAAGAGTATTTTTACTCGAATATGTTGAGTATACTCAATAAACTCAAACACCTGAGTAAAATATTTTGAGTAAACCACTATCGTTTACGCAGTTATAATCGGTAAAATTACTCATTTGAGTAAGTTGCTTCATATTTACTCGTTATTCTCGAGTAGAATCGATGTTTTACTCTAACATTGAGTTAATATACTTTCCAGACTGATCGATTTACTCAAAGCTGAGTAAAGACTGCGAATCTACTCAATATGAGTAGAATGTACTGGTCACTCATGGTTTGAGTATTTTTACACCGGTAAATGTTTGAGTAAGAAATATCGAGTAAACACCACCAGCTACACAAATGTGATGAGTAAATTTACTCAAAGGGTAAATTTACTCAAAGACCGTACCAAACAGTTTCCTCAGTGACTACAATACTCTTCAGATGAGTCAACTCAAGCATCGGACAACCGGCTTTACTCACAAGTCATGGCTGCCGATCATCATGATCGGGAACTTTGGGAACGTTATTTCAAGTCCTGATTCCTGAATAGAGTAAACGTCATCTATATTCATCACACGATAACAACGTTGAACCATAGTTAATAAATAGAAAAACACGAGGTCATGCACAGTATATATTTCAGTGTTGTTTATTCTGTGATGTTATACTGCGATCAAAACATACGCAGCGATAGTCTTGTCTTAATCCCCTGCTTTGTTTGCGTCTTGAAATGTGAAACGACAGTGACGTAAATCATATCTGACGACGCGGTAAGTTCAAATTTCAGTGCCTCGTGCCTGCTTTGGTGGACATATATTATTCATCTGTACCGCGAGGAATTTCATGGCGAAAAGCGTCAACTTCTTCTTCTTTTATATCGAAGATGGTAAATAGTGTAAGAGGCATGAAGACTTGGCTTACAGAGATGGGTTTAGGAGATTGTTGTCTCTCATTTGAAGGTATATTTGCAGATTTTTTTCATGTAGACGTTTGGACAAATAAACAGCAACTGAGTTTGGTTTACAGCGCTTCATTCGCATTTGCTTCACTATAGTTTAAACTTTGTCGCGTCATGATTGTCTATACTTTAGAATTTTCGAAGCTTCCAACGGGCGTTTATAACAGAAACAAACTAAAGACGAAAGCGCATTTCGCATCACAAAAAGCGTTAAGATTGAGCGCTGTTAGCCGCTGTGGTATTGTGGCACAATGCGCGCCGCCCTCCATATGGACGTTTGCAGTTGTATGTTTGCCTAAATATAAGCTACATTGATTGATTATATTTTCTTCACTTACAACTCTACGTGTTTACTGACGCTTAAGACAAATATTTGTATGTCTGTAACTGTATTTATAAGAAGGTAAAACGGATTTAACTACAGAAAATTCAAACCATCAGCAAGGTGTAATACGATACGTTTGCATTGCCATTGCGCCTATTAAGCTCTGACAGCCTGTCTGTTACACAGTTTATATGCCACATGTGTACTCTTTCTAAAGTCTAACGGCAGTAAAGTACGTTTTATAAAATGCTTTCATGTTTCATATACTGCTAGATAAACAAAATTGCTGACCACGGTGCCAGTGTAATTTATTTGTTAAATAATCTAAAAGTCTATATATTGTTTGCGTGATTGAATTTGGCCGGCCCGACGCGCCAGTCACTTCCTTCAATTTGAGCTTGCAATCCGCCAATCCACAAGATAGAAGATTAAAGAAAATCATATAGAAAATAACTATTGTAAGAGCAATTAGTAATTATTAGAGTACATGCATGCATGGACATAAGCTATTCTCCTGAGAAAGCCTTTCAGCCCGTTCTTTGTTAATTAATATAGAAACCCAAATACATGAAGATGAATTCATTGCTTTAACAGAAAGAGAAGACGTTCAGGACGAACGTCTTATACTTGTGGTAGGTCATAAAATGAAATTTTTTGAAGGCTCTGGGGGGGGGGGGTTGTAAAACCATTAGCCTGCGAGCAGGCTCTCATCTTAGAGCCTGATCGCAGGCTAAATTCCATATTTATTTTAAATTAAACTCCCAGCAAAATACACAAAAGGACTTGAGGTGAGTATTTTACATGTATTATCATTGTATTTTATTATGTACTATACCTTAGAAAGGCTGGGGTGAGGCAAACCCTTCGGTTTTGACATTTTTCATCACATGAATCAACATTTTCAAATTAATTTAATAAAGGCACTTCAGTTCAGTATTTTTATGACTACAAACAAATACTGTAATCTATAATTTGTAAATTTGTTGCTCTCTCTGCCGAAGATGGCTGATGTTCTCCAGTTTTGAAGTTTGAAAACATATATGTCTATCCTTTTGCACTCTGGTGTTGCTGTGCAAGTGTGGCGACAAGCCGCCTTTCGCCGGCACCCCTCTTTGGTGGCTGATTAACAAATTGGCCGCCTGATATTGGGGACTTGTATATAGGCATATATGTGCATAACATTAAAAAAATGAAAGCTTTTTTGAAATTATTAATTAACCTGGCAATTTGAAAGAATTATAAATTCTCCAGTTTTGAACAACATATATGTCTATACTTTTGCACTCTGGTGTTGCTGTGCAAGTGTGGCGACAAGCCGCCTTTCGCCGGCACCACTCTTTGGTGGCTGATTAAAATTGGCCGCCTGATATTGGGGACTTGTATGTAGGCATATATGTGCATGACATTAAAAAAATGAAAGCTTTTTGGAAGTTATTAATTAACCTGGCAATTTGAAAGAATTATATATTCTCCAGTTTTGAACAACATATATGTCTATACTTTTGCACTCTGGTGTTGTTGTGCAAGTGTGGCGACAAGCCGCCTTTCGCCGGCACCCCTCTTTGGTGGCTGATTAACAAATTGGTCGCCTGATATTGGGGACTTGTATATAGGTATATATGTGCATGACATTAAAAAAATGAAAGCTTTTTGGAAATTATTAATTAACCTGGCAATTTGAAAGAATTATATATTCTCCAGTTTTGAACAACATATATATGTCTATACTTTTGCACTCTGGTGTTGCTGTGCAAGTGTGGCGACAAGCCGCCTTTCGCCGGCACCCCTCTTTGGTGGCTGATTAACAAATTGGCCGCCTGATATTGGGGACTTGTATATTGGCATATATGTGCATGACATTAAAAAAATGAAAGCTTTTTGCATATGATTAATTAACCTGGCAATTTGAAAGAATTATATATTCTCCAGTTTTGAACAACATATATGTCTATACTTTTGCACTCTGGTGTTGCTGTGCAAGTGTGGCGACAAGCCGCCTTTCGCCAGCACCCCTCTTTGGTGGCTGATTAAAATTGGCCGCCTGATATTGGGGACTTGTATATAGGTATATATGTGCATGACATTAAAAAAATGAAAGCTTTTTGGAAATTATTAATTAACCTGGCAATTTGAAAGAATTATATATTCTCCAGTTTTGAACAACATATATGTCTATACTTTTGCACTCTGGTGTTGTTGTGCAAGTGTGGCGACAAGCCGCCTTTCGCCGGCACCCCTCTTTGGTGGCTGATTAACAAATTGGTCGCCTGATATTGGGGACTTGTATATAGGTATATATGTGCATGACATTAAAAAAATGAAAGCTTTTTGGAAATTATTAATTAACCTGGCAATTTGAAAGAATTATATATTCTCCAGTTTTGAGCAACATATATGTCTATACTTTTGCACTCTGGTGTTGCTGTGCAAGTGTGGCGACAAGCCGCCTTTCGCCGGCACCACTCTTTGGTGGCTGATTAAAATTGGCCGCCTGATATTGGGGACTTGTATATAGGCATATATGTGCATGACATTAAAAAAATGAAAGCTTTTTGGAAGTTATTAATTAACCTGGCAATTTGAAAGAATTATATATTCTCCAGTTTTGAACAACATATATGTCTATACTTTTGCACTCTGGTGTTGCTGTGCAAGTGTGGCGACAAGCCGCCTTTCGCCGACACCCCTCTTTGGTGGCTGATTAACAAATTGGCCGCCTGATATTGGGGACTTGTATATAGACATATGTGTGCATGACATTAAAAAAATGAAAGATTTTTGTAAATGATTAATTAACCTGGCAATTTGAAAGAATTATATATTCTCCACTTTTGAACAATATATATGTCTATACTTTTGCACTCTGGTGTTGCTGTGCAAGTGTGGCGACAAGCCGCCTTTCGCCGGCACCTCTCTTTGGTGGCCGATTAACAAATTGGCCGCCTGATATTGGGGACTTGTATATAGACATATGTGCACGACATTAAAAAAATGAAAGCTTTTTGGAAATGATTAATTAACCTGGCAATTTGAAAGAATTATATACTCTCCAGTTTTGAACAACATATATATGTCTATACTTTTACACTCTGGTGTTGCTGTGCAAGTGTGGCGACAAGCCGCCTTTCGCCGGCACCTCTCTTTGGTGGCCGATTAACAAATTGGCCGCCTGATATTGGGGACTTGCATATAGACATATGTGTGCATGACATTAAAAAAATGAAAGATTTCTGTAAATGATTAATTAACCTGGCAATTTGAAATAATTATATATTCTCCAGTTTCAAAACAACATATATGTCTATACTTTTGCACTCTGGTGTTGCTGTGCAAGTGTGGCGACAAGCCGCCTTTCGCCGGCACCCCTCTTTGGTGGCTGATTAACAAATTGGCCGCCTGATATTGGGGACTTGTATATAGACATATGTGTGCATGACATTAAAAAATGAAAGATTTTTGTAAATGATTAATTAACCTGGCGATTTGAAAGAATTATATATTCTCCAGTTTTGAACAACATATATGTCTATACTTTTGCACTCTGGTGTTGCTGTGCAAGTGTGGCGACAAGCCGCCTTTCGCCGGCACCCCTCTTTGGTGGCTGCTTAACAAATTGGCCGCCTGATATTGGGGACTTGTATATAGACATATGTGTGCATGACATTAAAAAGATGAAAGATTTTTGTAAATGATTAATTAACGTGGCAATTTGAAATAATTATATATTGTCCAGTTTTGAACAACATATATGTCTATACTTTTGCACTCTGGTGTTGCTGTGCAAGTGTGGCGACAAGCCGCCTTTCGCCGGCACCCCTCTTTGGTGGCTGATTAACAAATTGGCAGCCTGATATTGGGGACTTGTATATAGACATATGTGTGCATGACATTAAAAAGATGAAAGATTTTTGTAAATGATTAATTAACCTGGCAATTTGAAAGAATTATATATTCTCCAGTTTTGGACAACATATATGTCTATACTTTGCACTCTGGTGTTGCTGTGCAAGTGTGGCGACAAGCCGCCTTTCGCCGGCACCCCTCTTTGGTGGCTGATTAACAAATTGGTCGCCTGATATTGGGGACTTGTATATAGACATATGTGTGCATGACATTAAAAAAATGAATGATTTTTGTAAATGATTAATTAACGTGGCAATTTGAAATAATTATATATTCTCCAGTGTCGAACAACATATATGTCTATACTTTTGCACTCTGGTGTTGCTGTGCAAGTGTGGCGACAAGCCGCCTTTCGCCGGCACCCCTCTTTGGTGGCTGCTTAACAAATTGGCCGCCTGATATTGGGGACTTGTATATAGACATATGTGTGCATGACATTAAAAAAATGAAAGATTTTTGTAAATGATTAATTAACCTGGCAATTTGAAAGAATTATATATTCTCCACTTTCCGAACAATATATATGTCTATACTTTTGCACTCTGGTGTTGCTGTGCAAAAACAACATATATGTCTATACTTTTGCACTCTGGTGTTGCTGTGCAAGTGTGGCGACAAGCCGCCTTTCGCCGACACCCCTCTTTGGTGGCTGATTAACAAATTGGCTGCCTGATATTGGGGACTTGTATATAGACATATGTGTGCATGACATTAAAAAAATGAAAGATTTTTTGAAATTATTAATTAACCTGGCAATTTGAAAGAATTATATTCTCCAGTTTGGAACAGCATATATGTCTATACTTTTACACTCTGGTGTTGCTGTGCAAGTGTGGCGACAAGCCGCCTTTCGCCGGCACCCCTCTTTGGTGGCTGATTTGCATGGTGGGTGATTGATTGGGGACTACAGTTATTGAAATATATGAATAATATAAAAATATTTAAGTGTTTTAGAAATGATTAGGTATAAAAACTCATATGAAACATTAACCTGGAAATTTGAAAGAATATTATTCAGTCTAACTCTTAAAGTGGCAGTGTGTGTTTATTTTATTTATTATTTTATATTATACTATATTGTTTATTGTATACAGTATTATACTATATGTGGTTTTGGCATTTCTTTATACTCAAATAATAACCATTTATAAGTGTTATGTTAGAGCACACCCAAACCGAGGGCTGAATTAAAGGATAATGTAGTCCACTCTGCAATATTAATTTCTAATTATATGTTCCTTCTATTTATGTAGGAAAGTTAAGATGTAGAGAGTTTCGTGTCAAGCAAAGATCCAAAAGAATTGCCATTTCTTGTATTGGTTGTCTGGCGACCGTTGAATGCAATTTCTCAAATCTTTATTGTCGCTGACTTGCTTACCAGTACTTTTTTGAGTTAAGGGTGGAATTGTGGAACTGATGGCATGAACTCGCATTCTGATTTCGAGAGGAGGCCAATTAATGAAATTAGGAATGACATATACTAGTAATATGAACTGAATAAAATCTGAACTCAGTAGGAAAGGGCAATTGCTCTTGCACTGTATATACAGTAGGTATCGTATATACTGTAGCTCATTGCAGTATTTGCATCGGTTTGGTTCGAATGTTGCATCTTTACTCTGAACGGAGTGCATGCGTACAACCATGCAGGTATTGTAGGTCAAAATCACTTTGTTTGTTACTACTGTATATGCTAATATAATTTGTTCTATATATTTGGGTAAATATATTATTTTCACAGACACAGTTGTGTTGAAATGACTATATAGTATCTGACTTTATATTATTTCTTTCAGTCATGGCCTTACTCGGAACAATGAGTAAAAAGGTACTCAGCTTGCTGGGAAAAAGGAGAATGTTTAAAATTTTAACGTTATTATTTTACTCAGAGATTTGAGTAGTTTTGTACTCATTGTTTTGAGTAAGGCACTTCTTTTACTCACTGTGAGTAAATATCGCACTTTACTCACGTTTTAGGTGTCACTGGGAATGGATTTTGGTTTACTCAAAAACTTGAGTAAAATTTTACTCATTGTTTTGCGTAAAACCTGCAGTTTACTCACTGTGAGTAAAAATCGCATTTTACTCACGTTTTAGATGTCACTGTGAATGCATTTTGTTTTACTCAGAAATGTGAGTAAAATTTTACTCATTGTTTTGCGTAGAACCGGTAGTTTACTCACAGTGAGTAAAAATCGCACTTTACTCACGTTTTATGTGTCACTGTGAATGCATTTTGTTTTACTCAGAAATTTGAGTTATTTTTACTCAAACTTTGGGTGTCACTGTGAATGCATTTTTTTACTCAAATATTTGAGTTGATTTTACGCAAGGATTTTTTGCAGTGTATGAATATAAGATATCTTAGTATACTATGGGTTGTATGAAAAACGCAACGGAATATATGCTAATAGGTAATATATTTATTGCGGGTTATTGACGAGAACGAAGAATCCATATATCAGATTTTCACAGTGGTATATATATGAATCATAAGACATCGCAAATTGCGGGTTATTGACGAGAACGAAGAATCTAATGTCCTGATATGATTTTGACAGCAGTATATATATGAATATAAGATATCGCGAGTTTGTTTAAGTCCTGGTATATAGGTTGTAAGAAAGACGCAACAGAATATATGCTAATAATATATTTATTGCGGGTTATTGACGAGAACGAAGAATCTATGCATATTATATGATTTTGACAGCGGTATATATATGAATCATAAGATATCGCGAGTTTGTTTAAGTCTTAATCTATACAGGACCGAGTTTGTTTAAGTCTTAATCTATACAGGACTATAGTTGTTAGTTGAAAATACCGCCGATGGTAAATCAATTGCGGGTTATTGACGAGAACGAAGAATCCTATATGATCAGATAGTTGTTAGTTGAAAATACCGATGGTAAATCAATTGCGGGTTATTGACGAGAACGAAGAATCCTATATTTATCAGATAGTTGTTAGTTGAAAATACCGATGGTAAATCAATTGCGGGTTATTGACGAGAACGAAGAATCCTATATTTATATATGAATCCTATATGTGCTGATATGATTTTGACAGGAGTATATATATGAATATAAGATATCGCGAGTTTGTTTAATAATAATATATTTATTGCGGGTTATTGACGAGAACGAAGAATCTATGCATATTATATGATTTTGACAGCGGTATATATATGAATCATAAGATATCGCGAGTTTGTTTAAGTCTTAATCTATACAGGACTATAGTTGTTAGTTGAAAATACCGATGGTAAATCAATTGCGGGTTATTGACGAGAACGAAGAATCCTATATAGTTGTTAGTTGAAAATACCGATGGTAAATCAATTGCGGGTTATTGACGAGAACGAAGAATCCTATATGATTAGATAGTTGTTAGTTGAAAATACCGATGGTAAATCAATTGCGGGTTATTGACGAGAACGAAGAATCCTATATGATTTTGATAGCAGTATATAGGCTACATATATATGCATGAATATAAGATATCGCGAGTTTGTTTAAGTCTTAGTATAGATTGTAAGAAAGACGCAACAGAATATGCTAATCAGTATATTTATTGCGGGTTATTCAGTGACGAGAACGATTTTACCGATGGTAAATCACTTATTTTCATCCATATACGATTTTGACAGCGATATATATGAATATAAAGATATCGCGAGTTTGTTTAAGTCTTAATCTATAGGACAATAGTTATCAGTTGAAAATACCGACGGTAAATCACCTATTTTCCGTTCGTACCGACGGTACCGACGGTACCGATGGTAAGGCCATTTGGTGAGCGCGTGCCTATCCATGCTCAGCTGGAGTCCACGAAACGAAAATATATATTACCGACCGTAAATAATCTTTTCCGTCGGTATGCTTGCGTGAGTATTGGACATGTATGAGGATCTCTGTTACAATCTCAACAATAATCTTTAATTAAAGAAATCCAGTAGAATTAGTCAGACTTTTGGACTATAATTCCTTTGGACTATCAGACTTTTTAAAAACGTTACGTTATTCCTTGTTTGTTTCCATTTATTATTTTCTTCTTATGTATTAGTAGGCTCACACTTTCCAGAAAAACATTTCTGAGAAAAGTAAGGACGATAAGTATGGAAAATGCAATTTAAATTACGCTTAAATAAGGCATTAAATTTCGACGAAAAAATCTATTCAAGGAAACTGTACGAAGCGAATAAATTTTACTCTTATATAATGCCTTGCTTAAGAGTCATTCAACAAACTTTTTAAGAGAAACTAGCAGGTTTTATTGCATTTCTGGGGCTCTGAGAGGTCTCAGATTTCAAAATGGAGCATGCTCCCGGACCCCCCAAGAAGGCCCACGCCTTCGGCGTTCGCTAGCCCCCAACCAAAAAATGACTCCGCGGTCCCTGCTAGACTAAACGAAAGTTCAAATGCTGGCTAACCGAACTCAAATGTTGTAGAGAAAATCATGTAGTTCAAGATTTTTATAGCTTTTTGAACAACCTTTCGTTTACAGTTGACTATAATCCATCTCTAGAAAATAAAGTTTTTCACAAAATCATCGCGCCCTTATTCAGCAAATTGCGTACTCCCTTGTATTTGGTCCTTGGGGGTGAGGCAGCACTTTCGTTGCGATAGTAACTTCTAGTTTAACACAATTTATGGTAAAATGAAGCAACATGTATAGTATCTGAAACAAAACCAAATCACATATTATTCAAAAGTTGTAAACACTGTTGCACATATGATATAACAAAATATCGTCGCATTTCTAGTGTTAACTAACTATAAATTTGGCCAATTTAAACTCGACTATGAAGAATATCAAAAACTAAAGGTCATGTTTCAGCTTATAAAACCAGACTTTAGTTTTATAAATATAAACATTGCAAACGCTATACGAAGCCAATGAAGGCACATTTTGCCCTAAATACTCGGTCAGAGACTCAGAGCCTCAGAGGTGTGTTCTAGTACATAATTAATCTTCTCTCACAGTTTAAAACAAACTGTAATACTAACCTTCGACAAACTGTGTATAAATCTTATCGAATTTAACCATTTTGCCACAGATTTTCCGACCGGCTATTTACACCCGGGTGTTTGAAAACATAGCGAAGTGCAAAGTTGTCCTCCATTATGTGAATGACGGTCTTCGACGTTATTGCGCATGCACGTGTTTTTCATTTTGCAAGCACGCGGGCTAATTTTGCAAAGATGTATTTTGCTATTTTACAATATATTGTGGCGATGTATTTCGCTATTTAACTGGAAACAAGCCTGCAGTTTTATGAATTAGTGGCTGTCAACCGTGAAACAAAGTGTGAAAGGCATGCATAAGCTGATAAACACGAATTTTGTCGAAAACGTTTTCAATGAAAACTGTTTTCAATATAAAATTTAATCGTTGTCTTGACTCTTGGCTATTTTACCAGAAATGTTTTCAATATAAAATTTAATCGTTGTCTTGACTCTTGGCTATTTTGGGTAAGTGTTATAAACATTTCAGTATTAAAATTTCATACCGTACTTGCTTTGTGTTTTCGATTTCATTCATATCGGCGATATGAATGAAATGAATTTTATGCCATTCAACTCAATAACTAATATATTTTCAATGCAAGCTGGTATTTACATGAAAATGTATAAATGTAGTGATTTTAAATATTGTTTATTTGGAGCAATTAATACAGCGTATCGTGTTTTTATGCGTGTTTATAATGGTCTTTTTTCCTACAGCAAATATGACTTCACCAAAATATAACTCAAAAACTAGCTTTTGCTTATATAAAGAAAAATTAATATATTTTACCGTATTTTTGAGCAAACTACTGACTATACTGTCAACAAATCGAGTGTTTCAGCTTCCCCTGCAGTTCCACGGCAAAGTGTCGAAACGCTTTACCGTTACATTTTACACAACTTTTAGCCGATTGAAAGCCACATAACATAAAACTACATTCCTTTTAATAACAAATTATGAAAATCAACGATTCTTTTGGTAAAAAATTATCTCCTATTATTTTCTCATATTATTTTCATGTTACCATAGCATCTATTATTATTTTGAACATGGAGTACTTCATGTTGAATGGAATTTCTATACTTCATCTGTTAAAAAAGGCGAGGGTTTACTGCATGCATGTATTTCTAGTTAGAGATTTGTATTGCAGAATGGCCATTTGGCTGAATAATTCGACTATTTTTCGTAAACGAACGATTCAAATTACAAATCACGGCCGCTGGTTGTAAATTGAAGGTTAGTGAATACATTTCTGTTGGTTATGAGCTATTAAAGAATTGCTACATGCGAAATTTTAACGTATTAATACATGTTGTTTACTTACAAAGTATGCAGTACAGTATATAATATACTATAGCATGATAGTTTGGTTTATTTATTGGAAAAATTCGATGTCTTCGAAGTAATATTGTAGTAATAGGAATGAATGTTAATGTACTTTCATACTGCCACTTTGTACAGTGTTCAATGTCGAGTGCGATCGTGTCCGTGAAGTTCTTTTAAATGTTTTTGAATTACATGATTCATGAAAATGTTTCACATATTTGCACCTCTTGCACTTTAAATAAACTGGAGTTCAATCATTATCTGCAATTGGTCTATAGCAAACATAGATATCTTATATACACTAGATAGCGCATCTCATTTAGTAAAATTGAAGCCAAGAATATTCCAGCGGTTACCCCCATTTCAATAGATGGCAGCCATGTTGGTCGTTCCCACTTGCTAATAAACGCTTAAAAACAACAATAACTTTCATCATTTGAATAGTTTAAAAACGTATTTGGAATAGGGTTAACTTAATGTTTAAGTTGCCTGTTTAAGAAATAGAAAACATACGAATCTTCTCATTTCATGGGAACGACCTGAGACTGCAATCACGGCTTCAATTTTTGAATTGCAGAATAATTAGATGCACTATCTAGTGTATATAAGATATCTATGATAGCAAAGATTTATCCACTTATTATCGGCTTCCCTGGGGGTCGACCCCCGGGACACCGAGGGGCGTTTGTTAAGAGGACGAAACAAAACATTAACAAATAGGCCGTAGGATGAGCATCCAAAAGATGCTTAGAAAACGGATTCCGTTGCACCCCTCGTGGAACTACGTAATTTTC